CTCATCGGTAACCGCACCCTCCGCGTCACGTAATTTAACAAAGAGAGGTGCGGTAAAGTTCGATATCATATAAGATTTAAGTATCATGGAATCAACACTATACTACCCCCCCCCCCCCTTCGGGGTGGGAGGGGCCTTAACAGAAAGGGAAGCGGTTTCGTAGGGGGTGGGGGAGGGTGGGAGCGTGGAAATGGTGTATGGATATTTTCTGGAAGTCCACATTCTAAAAAAGCTTCACTGTACTTTTTTCACCTAAAAGGTTAGCACTTTTTTCCTATTGCGGGGAGGTGAAGCCCTCTCCCGATCGCAAAATGAGAAAACGTCTAACATTTGACAACTTGTTTCCACCATTACGACATTTCTGGTTAAACAAGCAGTAGAATGATGACGACTATCACGTTTTCCCGCCAAAATGACGTTAGTTTACGCGCGTGCACCCCTCAGTATTGAGAAAATCTCCTTCTCGTTGTCGTCCCCGTCCTAGAATCTAAAGGTCTTTATTGAGATGGAATGGTTGACCATGTGCTTTTAGTGTTATCCTCTTGAGCCACACCATGCCAAACGTCACGATCTACATCTCAAGGACTGACGACATTTAGAACAGAAAAGATAATTTATCTTTCCTATTGCCTTTGCCGCGATGGGAAACCACAGACGTTTTCTATACATATGTAGTCAACTCTCTCTTAAACGGGCCTGCATCGCTGTTAGGATAGGCACAAAGTGCCCGCTTATATAGAGACAAAGAAAATGTCTGACTGAGAACGACATTGACCAACAGTGGAAAGAGAACGTTGACTGTAGTCATTTATAACTACGTATTAGCCTCAGAAAACAGCCGAAATTTCGCGACGCCACGGCTGGCCATAGTTTCCCCGCGAAATGACGTCTGAGCGAGGAATGAGGGCAGGAATTCCACACTGATGACGTGTCACCACCCAAATCTGGGTAGTTCTTCTGTGTGGTTCAAAATTCGCTTCACCCAATCACAAAAACTACCCAGATTTGAGTGGTGACACGTCATCAGTATGGAATTTCTACGCTCGAACCTCAGACGCCATTTCCAGGGAAAAGCAGTGGTGCATCGCAAAATGTTACTTTTTTTCTCGGCATAACTGCGTAGTTTCTGGTAGAGCGGGAGTCAGTGTTGTGTCGAACTGCACTATGGGACTGTTTTGGGGACGCTATAGCTTCTTTCATCCTTCTTTTAGAGTTGCCCGGGAAACGTACTGGGTCAAAAAATGCCACCAAAAGCAGCCCTACAGAGCAACGGACTAATTTTGATACATTTAGGGCGAGTTCGATCGACCCTATTCTCGAATAAAACTCTAAAAATCACTTGTTTTGGCTTCAATTGAATCGTTAAATCTAGATATCTGGCTCCGGTTGTTCAAACGCTGGATAGCGCTATCCACCGGATAAATCACTATCCAGCGGATAAGTATTACGGAAATCAATTACGCTATCCGCTGGATAGTGATTTATCCGGTGGATAGGGCTATCCGACGTTTGAACAACCGCGACCAGGTAGACATTTGTAATTAAGATGAACGTAACATTCCAGTTTCAATTTGCCATCGAAGTCTGAGAGTTGTCACAAAATTCTGCCCGAATACGATCCATCAAACACACGCTAAATTTCACGGCTCCGAAGCTGGAATAAAAAAAAAAGAAATCACTTTCAGGAATGGGATGAATAACACATTTTCTCTGTTGTATTTCCCCGAGTCTCGGGGCCAAGTTGTAATTTCAATATATCGAATTGGCCTATTTGACGCCGCACCGACTCGCCCCTCCCCCGCCCCGCCGCCGCGACTCACCTCAGAATGGCCAGGTGGTGGCTAGTACCTTCAGAAAACTCCTGATTATTCCTCTAAAACCAACTGTTGTGCTTTTTCCAATAGATCAAGACAGTTGGCCCAGAAATTCAAAGTGGCCAGGATAAACCACCCAAACTTACAAAAAATGGAACCTGCAAGAATGTTGGAGTCAGATCGGATGGATGACCGTCAACAGCTTTCTGTAAGAAGAAAAAAAACCAGAAAACACAAACAGGATTATCTACAGGTAGGATATCACTGACATCATTTCTTAATACTTTGTCTGCTATGTACAGTGGTAGATTCAATCAGTTGCCATGTATATGGTCGGGCACATTTTTATAACTTCAATGTAGAGCGTTTTCACATGACATCAAAAACAATGAAAGGGCGGCCTTTTTGGTGTTTCAGACGAATCCGTGTGAGTTGAACTTGACTTTTCTTATGCACACGCTTTCTTTTGTTCCAGTAAATTTGCATAGATGCTGGCCACGTGAGTGAAAACGCTTTATTACTGCACAGCACAGTAGCTAGTTTTCCCTAAGAGGGGAGGACTCATATAAAACGAGTGGATGCCCGTCGGAAAATAAGATTTGAACCAACCTGGGGCGGGGGGGGGGGGGGGGNTTAGTAATTAAGATGAACGTAACATTCCAGTTTCAATTTCTTATTTGCCATCGAAGTCTGAGATTTGTCACAAAATTCTGCCCGAATAAGATCCATCAAACACAACCTAAAATTCACGGCTCCGAAGCTGGAATAAAACAAAAGAAACCAATTTCAGGTTAGAGATGAATAACACATTTTCTCTGTTGTATTTCCCCGAGTCTCGGGGCCAAGTTGTAATTTCAATATATCGAATTGGCCTATTTGACGCCACACCGACTCGCCGCGACTCACCTCAGAATGGCCAAGTGTTGGGTCGTACCTTCAGAAAACTCCTGATTATTCCTCTAAAACCAACTGTTTTGCTTTTTCCAATAGATCAAGACAGTTGGCCCAGAAATTCAAAGTGGCCAGGATAAACCACCCAAACTTACAAAAAATGGAACCTGCAAGAATGTTGGAATCAGATCGGATGGATGACCGTCAACAGCTTTCTGTAATAAGAAAAAAAAAAGAAAACAAAAACAGGATTACCTAAAGGTAGGATATTACTGACATCAGTTCTAAATACTTTGTCTGCTATGTATAGCGATAGATTCAATCAGTCGCTATGTATATGGTCGGGCACGTTT